TCAGTGTCACAGCTCCACAAGGAACTCACATCCGGACGCACTTTCAGGTAGATCTTCTTCTCTTGATTGTACCACAGCTGCTGGGGGGTTTTGGGTTTCTCGGGGACGTCCGACTTCTTGGCGTTCTGAATAAGATCTGGGTGGTCTTCCCTTCAGTCCGCGGGAAGAGAGGGAGGGCGCGTGTCAGAAAGGGAGACCCTGGCACTGGTCCACTGGGGACCCACCCTGGGGTATCTTGGGTTGGAACCTAAGAGGGTGGGGATTGATTGTACCACAGCTGCTGGGGGGTTTTGGGTTTCTCGGGGACGTCCGACTTCTTGGCGTTCTGAATAAGATCTGGGTGGTCTTCCCTTCAGTCCGCGGGAAGAGAGGGAGGGCGCGTGTCAGAAAGGGAGACCCTGGCACTGGTCCACTGGGGACCCACCCTGGGGTATCTTGGGTTGGAACCTAAGAGGGTGGGGAACCTAAGGCCTGGGGGCCGGAGGAGGCCCTTGGCTTGCCTGGATCTGGCCCCCACCCCGGGCTCAGGGCTCACCCCAACATTGGGGAACTTGCGCCGGTGCTCCGGCCCCCGCCATCCCCCCTCACAAAAAAAATCTATGAGCCTGGGCCCCCCTAGGCTCTGGTATGAGAGGGGAATGTGGGGAGGGTCTCTCGCCTCCTCAGTTGGGGGCCTCCTCAGTGAGGAGTTTGGTTTTTTGCTTCACACTTTTGTGTGGCCCCCACAACTGATTCTTCTGAGGGTCAGTGGCCCCCCCACCCAAAAATGGTTCCCCACCCCTGGCCTAACCCCTCAAGACTGAGGTGCCCATGAGCCTAATGAAAGTGAGCAGCCTAAATGCCTTTGAGGATCAGGGCCTAGGGCTTAGGAGGCGGGGGAGGGCCCAAGAAGGGAGTCAAGGGATCACAGGAATTGGGGCTGGAAGAGATCGTGTCCACACTGCAAGGGGGGATCTCTTTAGTGTATTTACGAACCTCATCAACTGGGCCTCCTCCATTGGAGCCCCCAATATCCACACTGCATGGCTGCTTTGCCAGAGAAACAGCCTTCGACCGACCCCCTGCCGGGGCTCCCGGCTTGAAGCCAGTGGCCTAGTGAGTCTTAAGCTGCCAGGAAACCAATCAGACTCGGCCGTCCTTCCCCCCGTTCACCTCGTCGGACCCGCCTCGTTAATCACCCACAAGGGGCTCCCCCCTGTGCGTTTTACAGATACATGGGCATCGTCCTGATGAATTCGGTTAGAGGCTGCTGGACGGCGCCCTACCTGAATCTTGCCAGGTTCCGCTCAAATTCCTGCTTCTCCCGCTGGAAGTCCTGGATGTATTTCATCTGGGTGGGACAAAGGAGCCGGGGATTTAACAGGGCAGGCAAGCCAGCACAATCCGACCATGGGTTTTGCTGGGGTTAACAGGGGCTGAGGGCGTGCAGCTCCCTGCAGGATCGGGCCCTGAAACGGCAGCTAGCTAAATTGCAGTGATCTGGCTAATCATGTAGTCGGTACAATTTGCACCAACCACGCGATTAGTCGATAAGGACCGCTCTGCAGAGCCGTAGCAGGGGTAGCTCCCGGAGCCGGCTCAAGCGGGAACTCAGCAGCCCTGGCTCACGCCGGCTCTGGAAGCCACCCGTGCGGTGGCTTTGCATTTTAAATGTAGTAGGAGTCCTGGGCTTTTATTATATTTAAAATGCAGAAGCACAGCAACCTGGACCAGCCCGAGCTGAGTCTATTAGAGGCAGCAGGGACTTGTGAGGAGCGGGGGAGGCAGCATTGCGGAGACAGTGCTGGGGGGAACCGGCTTTAAAAGCTGGCTCCCCCCAGCACCATCTCCTGTTCCCCCAGCAGAGGCAGCAAGGGGGTGGGAGGGAAGCGAGTAGTCAACTTCTTGCTAACACCCCTCGCAGCTAGGGGCTGAGATTTCCAAAGCAGCCAAAGGGGGTTAGAGGCACAATTCCCATCGTCCCAAAGGGCCCTGAATCCGTGGGCCGCTGCGGAGCGATTGCTCCCTAGCTATTGCCTAGAGCCAGGCAGACCGCGGCCTGGTTTCACGCCACCAGGACCTGGCGCCAGGTGGCAAGGAGGGACGTTTATCACTGTCTCATGTCACTGGCGCGGCGGCCCCTGCGGGAACAGGTCAGGGCTTCAATACAAAGCCGAGAGCGCGTGCCGCTCTGCACGTACGCCCAGCAAGTGCGTCGGGGGCGGGAGGGAGATGGGCTTTGGTGGGTTCTGCCGCTCTCCAGCGGATCCTCTGACGCCCCCGGATGGGTGGCGGCTGGTCTGGGACGGCCACTGGGTTGTGGCATGGGATGGAACCAGCCAGGGCTGGCCTCTTGGGTAGACCCAACATTTCACACAGCGAACGTTTCGTTTCCAACCTCTTCTGATTGCCAGGCGAGCGACTGCGGACAGAGCCTCTGAGCCCACACACGGGCAGCCTGGACTCAGAGCCTAGCCCATATTAGCCATAGCCCCGACCCGCAGCTGGCCCTGTAGCCTTATGAGGCTCCATTGCCATGGCAACAGAAAAAACGGTGGACACCACAGATGAGCCCTTCTCCTCGCCGTACCAAACACGCTCCCACCGATCCCAGATCTGGGGAAACCCGAAGTGCACTAAGGATGGTTTCAGTATGTCATAGGCTGACAATTCCCGGCTCCGTTCAGCGCTGCTCACTCAATGATCTCAAAGCGCTTCATTAAGGAGCTCAATGTCCTTATCGCCATTTTCAGAGCAGGGGGGAAACCGAGGCACGGTGCGATGCTGTGACTTGCCCACAGTCACCCAGCAAGCCAGCAGCTGAGCCAGGACTCCCAAATCCCAGTGTTCTGCCCATTAGGCCACACTGCCTCTCTGCACAGGCCCTGTCCTAAGGACTTGCTGCCCCCGTGAATCCTCACCCTGCACAGGTAAGACTCCAAAGCACCCCTCCACCATTGACTACAGGGGGATCTGGCTACGCACACTCAGGGTATGTCTAGACTGCACCTCTCTGCCAGCAGAGGGATGCAAATTAGGCTGGGCGAAATTGCTAATGAAGCGGGGATTTAAATATCCCGCGTTTCATTAGCATAAAAATGGCCGCCGCTTTTTTCGGCACGGAGCTTTGTCGTAGAAAAGCGGCAGTCTAGACGCTGATCTATCGCTAAAGAAAGCCTTTTCCGACAGATCCCTTATGCCTCGTAAAACGAGATATCTATCGGAAAAGGCTTTCTTTAGCGATAGATCAGCGTCTAGACTGCCGCTTTTCTACGACAAAGCTCCGTGCCGAAAAAAGCGGCGGCCATTTTTATGCTAATGAAACGCGGGATATTTAAATCCCCGCTTCATTAGCAATTTCGCCCAGCCTAATTTGCATCCCTCTGCTGGCAGAGAGGTGCAGTCTAGACATACCCTGAGTGTGCGTAGCCAGATCCCCCTGTAGTCAATGGTGGAGGGGTGCTTTGGAGTCTTACCTGTGCAGGGTCACAGCGAAGGGACGGGCGTGTGCCTGCAGGCAAGAGAGACGAGCTCCCCGACGCCGTGCTCTGTAGGCTCCACCTACCTTTTTCTTTTCGGGGAGCTCCTTGTATTTCTTGGACAGGATTTTGGTCAGATCCAGGTTGCTCATTTCGGGGTGCAGCTTGGCATATTTGGCTCGCTTCTCCATGAAGAAGCGGAAGTAGGGTGTCAGGGGCTTCTT